ACACACACACAACACCCCCCTCCCCCCGAAAAAACCCAAAATCAAAACAAACAAACGAAAAAACAAACAATCAGGATAATGTAGATTTAATAATGGGTATTGGGTACAGAAATGAGTAGGGAACTATAACTGCCGATTGCTGGTTAACGTCTAGCACCTGAAGAAAAAGGTAACTTTAAAATGAATTCAGATTGATAACATGATTTGTATTACGACATGGTGGAATGAGGCGCTCGTCAATATTAGGGTACCTGGTATTATTGATAGGATCTTACAGTTTGTTCATTTGTCTATCATAGGATGAAAAAAAAAATTGCCTGTCTTTCTTAAATATCACGCGACATAGCTTACTTAGTATTGAAAGTAGGGTCGCTGGTTTCAGAGGATAATTTAGCAAGGAAATGGCTGTCAAATTTTGTGGACTTCCAAAGCTTACGAGTACAGGAATTATTGATGGGATCTTACAGCTTGTTCATTTGTCTATCCTTGGATGAAAAAATAATGCCTGTCCGTCTTCAATATCATGCAACATACTAAGTATTTAAAGTAATTTCTTGAGAACTATACGCCTTCATTTTCTGTACCTTTATTCAACGTTTTCCAGTAAAATTCACTCGGAAAATGTTTTTTAAAATGACAAAATAGTGTTGATCCCCCCCCAAAAAAAATAAAAAATAAATAAAAAATAATAAAATTAGATAACATTGCCGAACAGGAAAAAAAATGATGGTTTCTTCGATTTCATTATTTTGTTGAGCGTCTGATTTTGACACGACGCCTCATAAATCTCTGAAAAAAGCGGTGTCCGCCATGTCTTGGGGAGGAAAAAATACAGCTGAGTGTGCACTAATGGTGCGGGTGATCATGCAACTGAGAAAAGAATTGTTTGTTACAGCAAAGCGTATCAAGCGTATCTACAATACATTTTCGGAAAGGAAGTTGAACATCATTTGGCATGACAGTGAGCAAAAATTGTAAGAAACGTTCAGTGCTCATTGGTCACAATCTTTTTCACGAAGCCCCATCGGCACCTTCGCGTTTTACGTCAACATAATAACAAATCACCCTCTTCTCCTTTCCCACTTCCACTCTCTTTCTCTCTCTCTCCCTCTCTCTGTCTGTCTCTCTCTCTCACACACACTCTATCTCCCTTTCTCTTTCTCTCTCTCTCTCTCTCTTTCTCTCTCTCTCTCTCTCTCTCTCT